ATGATGTTCAAAAATAAATCAAAAGGTGATATCAGTCATAGTTGTATGAAAGCCAAAAATATATATATATATACATATATATAAATAAGAAATAAATACTTTTTTTAAGAAAAAGTTTAAAGGTTGCTATTTTAAGAAAATAACTTTTAAAACCACAAAATACTTTTTTTCGATAAAAAATAAGTGAAAATAATCAATTTAATTGCGAAAATAATTCAAATTGAAGTTACATGAAAAATGCAAAGCATCCAAATGATACTTCTATGTACGCAGATATACAATTTTAAACTTACAAGTGAAGGAAAATGGGAGAAACCTGTTTAAAACAAGCGAAGTGTGTCTTAAAAGAAAAATCAATATCGATACTAAATTTGGCTAATTCTGTATTTATTATTTCTCTTTTGTGCACGCTCTCATCATTAAGGGAGGATATTTCTGTTCATTCTTTCATTAAGAATGATTTTTTAATCAAAAGAAAAATAATTGTGAGTTATAATAGAAAGTGTATTTTTATGTGTCATAACTATTCAATAAAGTAATATTTTCCCAATTAGATAAATGAGTTTGTATATTATCCCATCAAAAAGTTTTTAAAAAATAAAAAATGGGTTGAAGAAAAATTTATCTTTTCTTTCGATTTTCGTTTCATAAAGAAAAAAAGATAATTAAATAAGGGAGCGATTAGATGTTGCAAAATATAAATTTCAACATATAATTCGAAAATTTAAAAAAAAGACTGGAGAAAGAGTTATTGTTTTTTACAAAACCATAATTATTGTTTTGTTTGTGCAAGTTTTTCTGTTCATTCATTTAAATTTAATTTTTTTTGTTTCAATAAATAAGCGTTAATAAGCGTTTGAAATAAACTCTTATGGATTAAAGAAACATTTTGCTTTTGGCAATATTGACTAAAAAGTTTAATTTTTTTTATAACAAGGAATTAGCTAAGAAAGCTAATAAAGATTTTATTAATTGATTTAAATTTTTAAGATATTTAACGCTAAAACACATTTCAAACGGGTTTAACTTACTACAGCAAGAAATCTTGGAGGATTAGAGGGGGAGGGAACATCCAAATTCTGCATAAAAATGATTTTTCCTCAATTCTAATTATTAGTGGTGACTCTTATGGGATGTAGGGACCCTCTGCTTTATTTTGGCTAATACGAACCCTACAAACAATAAATAAGAATGTAGCCGGCCAGGTGGCTGAGCGGGCCTGACTGCGAAGCCAACGGGTTGGAATCATGCTTATACGGGTTTGAATCACGTTTGAATATTATTTATTGAAAGGATATAAAAGTTTGAGAGTTTAAAAATCGTATTTAAGGACGAAAGTAACTTCTACGTTGTCATTATTTTTTTTAAAAATTTCATAGAAACGATTATTATTAACGAATAATTATAACAGAATATATTTATGACATTATTATAACACAATAATATATCAGTTATTAATAAATATATAAAAGAAATGCGTTCAATTTTTGCGATTGCAATTTGAAAGTATGTACAAAATTCTTTTCGTATAAATCTTTGTTTACTTTTATCATATATACTACACTCTATAACAAAAAAATCGACGGAAGCAATCATCCGATTGCTTTGAAATTTCGTATACATGAATGTTTTGAACAGATATGGCTGGAATGATGCCGACTGGGGACGTATAGTCTTTAGCGACGAATCCCGCTTCCAACTGTGTCCTGACGATCATCGAAGACGTCTTTGGAGACGGGGTCTTCACTATTGCAAGCCACACCGACCCTCAACAAGGCATTATGGTCTGGGGTGGGACCATCCGGGAGCTTTATCGGTCTATGTCACGCCGTGTGGCAGCTTGTATCCAGGCTAGAGGCGGGTCAACACCTTATTGAACTTGTTACTGTAACTCTGCAATAAATTATTCAATTGTTCTGATATTTTAATCATTTACTATTTTGTACATAGTCTTCCTATCCACTAATTTTCGTTTCAATCGGACAACTCCTTCTTGCGTCGATTTTCGTGTTATAGAGTGTATATGATATACGAAATATAATAAATATTTTGTAACATTATACGAAATATCATGCATATTTCGTAATTAATCTTTGTATACTTTTATCATTTTCTTAAAATTAAGAAATTTAAAGATTAATTAAGAGATAAAAATTAAAATTTTTGAAATAAATAAAGAACAAAATAAGGCCACACTTCTGACAGTAAAAGGAATTTACGCCCTCTACTTTAACCTGCAGAAAATATATACCAGAAATATTTTTTTAATTTCTTCAGTAACTAATTAATAATTTAGAATAATTTTTCCTTTAATTTATATATTGAAAAGTATTATACTGAATTTGGTAAACGAATTTTATATTTTAAGATAGTAAGTAATTTTAAAACTTTTTCAAAGTTTACATTTTTTTTTAAATTCAAGTTTTAGAAATACTACCCAAGTTCAATAAAACGCATTTCAATAAATAAAATAAAAAAGTTGTTCCAAAATATGAATTACTAAATAAATAAGGAAATTCCGAGGATATGATTTTCATCAGTTTAACATGGAGGAAATCCTTCTTGTTTGAAAGGAATAATCTTCAAACAAAAAAGGATTATGAGATATAATTAAATAAAACTTTAATTTTAGGATAAATATTGTCTAATGATATTGAGTAGAAATATTGAAATTATTACAGACGATGATCAATACAGAATGGCAAGAAGAAAAAGATTTTGAGATTGTTTTCTCGCATATATTAAAAGTTTTTTTTCCATCATTATTTATTTAAAGTGAATTCATAAATTCAAAAAATTTTCATGAATAAATTAATAAAATTTTATCACAACTAAATCGTTCACTAGACTACAAAAATATTTGCCATCATTTTGGTGTTGAAGTATACATTTTATAAGTAGAAAACTTTAGTTATCAAGCAAAAAATTGTATAAAATTGACAAAACAATTGTTTAAAAGAGTAAATATAATGTTTTAAAACTAAAATGTTTCTAATAAGAATTAAAATATATGGTAACCAAAAAATGAATAAATAAAACAGCTTAAAAAAAATTGTTTTATTTAACCTCAACACCAAAAACATTTCTTTTTGAAGTCATTACTAAAAATTGTTGTTTAAGTAATTAAAGATGACATTTTAATGAGAAGAACAAAGGTTTCAAACTTTATTTTTTTATCTTTTAACTCAACTTTATACATAATTTAATGAGAATTTTATAAAGATTTCAAACAACTTCATCGACTAGCCATTTTACTGTACCATCGAATTTCCTATAGAATAATTGATTAAAAACTAATTATAAATTAACATAAGAATTTCAAAGAAGTAAAATAATGCGAGATAAAAAAATATGAACATCGTCTGTTGAGAGAAATTGTACAAGTGCTGCCTTAAAAGGCTTCCTCTTATCTCAAAAGAATTATGTCGCATCAGCGGCTCTTAAGAGAATCCTTATTCTCTTACAAATAATACAGGGTGTTCATAAAATCCTGTTTGATTGAAAGGCATGATGTGTGGTACAGTTATTTCTCCTATAATGAGGATTTTTTTCAGTCGAAAGAAATACTGAAAATATTACTAAAATGTAAACTGAACTATTAAAAATAAATAAATAAGAGTGAAACAGATTGCTAGAGGAGCGGGAAAAAAATAGCATAATCTTTTCGAATCTTTTTTAATCGAAATGTTAAAAGAATTTAATCCTCAGAACTAAATTAATTATTTTAAGTGTAGTTAAACAACTTCAAATTGTCCTACATTTCTTCAATTTTTCAATAAAAAAATTAAAAAAGGGATTAAAATTATTATTTTCAGGAATGTATTAAATCATTAGATATAACTTGAGAATTTTTAGACTATCCATTATAATTAAATCAATTATTATACAAATTATTAGAATTTAGACAGTCATTAGATACAATATTAGAATAAAACAAAATTGTACAATGTACCACTATAAAACAAAATTGTAGACAAAATTTCAGAACCTAGCCAATTATTCGACAATTTATTTGAATTTAATCAAAAATAAGAACTTAATCATTAGTTAAACAAATCATTAAAACTTAGTCAACTATTTGGCATACCATTAGAATTTAATCAATTATTAGATTACTAGTCAAATTAGTATATTTTAATGCTTATACAAGTTTAAAAAACTGATCAGACAATTTAATAGCATTTAATGCATTGCACCATTATTATTATTGTAACTAAGAACAAACCTTGTGAGTAACATGATCCAAAACCTAATTTAAGTTTCTAAAAGACCTTTTTATTGAGATTTGGAAGCATAATTTAACTAATAGAATTTCCATAATTCAGTGATAAAATTTATCCAATTATTAGACAATCCATTAGAATTTAATCAAAAATTAGACAACATAGTAAGGTTTCATCAATATTAATGCAAATTATTTGAACTTTGGCAATTATTAAACAAAGCATTAGAAGTTAGTAAATTATTAGACAATCTATTTAAATTTTATCAATTATTAGCCAAATTAGAACTTAATTAAAACTTAAACAAAGTATTAAAATTTAGCCAATAAGTACACAAACCATTAGAATGTAATCAATTATTAGCCAGATTTGTAGAATTTATTCAGTAAATAAAGAGATCTATCTAAATTCATCGATTACCAAACGATTCATTAGCATTTTATCAATTGTAGCAGAATAAGAGAACGAAATAATTTGACAATAATACTACCAGGATTTACTCAGTTATACGAGGTAACTAATGAATTTCTAGTGAGAAACACGATCCAATTTTCTAAATCAGTTAATTTTAAAAAGCCTATTATAGAAATATTGAATGTTTTCAATGAATACAATCACATAAAATTGTTGGTTTTTGCTAGGACTCGAATACTTCAAATGAGAAATTCATTATTTTTAATGTTATTAAACAATTTCTAAAAATATAAATAAATTTCGTCTTGTTTTTTAAATCATCCGATCATTTATTTAATGTTTACTTTTTAATATTTTTTTCAGGGGCTTTGGGAAACAAGGTTATCAGTGCCAAGGTAAGAACAATATTTTTCTTTAAAATAACTTTTTATCCGCTTTCGTTGGCAAATTATATAATCATTAAACATTTTTTGCCTTACAAAATTTATGTGATCGCTTTAACTTGATTTGCATAAAATTGAAACATTATAATACTGAAAAGAATTTTTATGTAGCACTATTCTAAAAAACTAATAATATTACTAACTGATCAGCTTAAAATGATATATTTCATAAGAATATATTTGGTGGTTTTATTTTATCTCTTTATTAAATTCAAAACATATCTGCGCAGAGGGAAAAAATGTGGTAAAAACTACCAAAATAAGGTGAAATTTACCGTGTTTCTGGCTCAGTGGGAACACTGAATAGCTCTGTAATTTTTACCGAAATTCTTTAGTAATCATTTTGGAAAAATTAGCAGTAAGTTAATGTTTTTATTCGGTGAATTACTAAAAACTATTTATTCACTTTAAATTTAGCTTTCAGTTTAGTATTCTTACTAAATATTATACTTAGATGCTAAATTTTAACAACAAAACAGACAAATAAAAAAAAGAAGGAGGCGGAAAGTCCGAATTGTTTTAACCCGTAGTTCCTTCTCTGCTAACTGGTCCCCCTTGCCTTCATCGTTTTCGTTTAAAGCACCATTCTGAAATTAATAACATAGGCTTGCCATATGAAAAAAATTTCTATTATCAAACAAATCTTAATTTTTTTTTTATCTCCCAATATTCACAATGCTTGTTTAAACACATAAATCAAAAAACTAAATATTTTTTAAGACTCAATTTCGTAATTTATATAGTTTCTTGAAAAATAATTGTCTAAAAAAGAATATATATATATATATATATTGCTAGGAATACTTTAAAATTAATGCCCATCACAATTCATTGAAATAAAAGTTCTTAAATGAAATTATACCCCGAATATAAATATCTTTTAAGTTAAACCAGTCAATACTTTCAATAAAATAAATATCCTTAAGAAATAAAAATACAAATTAGCAATTCGTTAAAGCTAGTCTCAATAAACAAAACATCTTTTAATCAGCAAAGTCCGTCAAACTAATTTATTCTCCTAACAAATGAATTTAAATTTTTTACAACTAACTCAATCTACAAATTATCTAAATCCTCTTTAAAACTAATTCTTACTCCTAATGGAACAACAAATCTATTACATCAAAATGCAATTTTAAAATAAATTACATATTTTAAGTCACTAAATATCGCCACAATTTAATCACACTCCAGATAGATCTTTTTGAAACTAATTTGTATTCCTTATAAACTAAAAGACTTTCAAAATCAATTTATGCTCTCAATAAACTGACTGAAAATCCTTTAAAACTACTTTTAACTATTCAAACTTAATAACTAACTCATTCACTTTAAAACTATTTCGAACTAAATCTTATAAAACAGTTTCTTACAATAACATCATGTAACCAACAGTTCTAGAAAATAAATCTCAATTATTTTGAAAGTTCGATGCGGATCCAAATTCCTTCCATTTACGAAAATCATGTGACATCCTTATTTTATAATCATTCTTTGATCCATATTTTTTAAAAATTAGGAGAGAACCAAATTGTAAATTAAAATCTTAGTAAAATACAATTTACGAATTTTATAAACTTAGGGAAAATTCTTACTGAATCTTAAATTGCTCCAATCAAATTCTAAACGTATATTTCAAATGAATTTGATGAAAATGTTAAAATAAAAATATGTGTCGCTAAAATGAAAGGCTGCTTCTCCACAAAATCGTTTTATTTATATCCTTTTCTAACAAAAGGAAAAATAGCTTCGATCCCCCAATTAAAATCAGAAGATGAATGAAAATGAGTGTGCGTAAATGATGCGTGTTATATTCCTTAAAGAGTCTGTGATTAACACTGCATGAACTTGTAACGTAGTTTCATAATATGTTATAGCTCAAAAGCACATCGGTCGAATAGTTCCTGAGAAGTTAGAAACAGAATTCAATAATTTTTTGTTGACATTTTAGATTTTGTCATTGGATGAGGAGAGCACCGAGAAGCTGAAAAAAGTGTTTATTTAAACATTAGCCTAAATAGATATTCAGAGTTGCAATGTAAGAGGTTTTTCGGTTGTGTATCTGTAATGAATACAGAGATCTATTTAGAATCTGATTAAATAAACTATTTATCGAATAAGTGGATAAAATGACCAAATTTAAGTCGTGATCAAAATTAATATCAAAGTGTTTCCTTAGGTACATTTAACTGGTAGTTTTCAGCGTATTAAAAATTCCCATTATTAGACAAATGGTTTTTTTATGCATCTTTTCCGAACTTTTGATGATCCTTCATAGTAAATAATTTTCTGTACTATTATTTTGTGCCTCTAAAGGTTCGAGGAACAACTTTAAATATATTTGTATGTCGCTTCCCTCATTATCTCGAGTTAACTCGGGTATGTATAGATTGAAAATATTTATTATACCGAGTAAATTCGGGCATACGTTTTGCTTCATCACGCTTTTATTCGGCAGAAAGTAAAACAAAAAATAATCTGCTGTGATTGGCCAATATTTGTTTGGGAGTTTGTTGACTTATTCCTCTTGGTCAGCACCAAGTCAATGGGCTCTTCAGGAAATCAAATACAAGTAAGGGACCGGAATAGAGGTCAGACCAAGACAGTGTAAAATGTGATCGGGAGAAGCCTGTGCAGAGTCGTGCACGTTTCGCCCAAGCTCAAAAGAGAGACACCTGATGTGTCCACTTATGAGCCTACTTATAGTGGACTGTATGGCTCTATCAGCCCCTATGGTAAGTGCCCCACCAGGAGTTATACCAAGAGTGGGCCGGATGGATGTTCCATAGTTGTTGGTTAGTGGTTCTGATCTTGGAGCAAATCTCAGGGAAGGTCAAGGGTCGACTTGAAATTGGGCTATCAGAAGCTCCCTGCTTGGCCAAAAGATGAGCATTTTCATTACCAAAGAGGACTATGTGAGAGGCCATTGAATGAAGATTTTACGCCGATGAGAGAGTTGTTTAATTTTATTAATTATAGAGACAGATGTCTTGTCGCCAGCCTTATTCCAGTTACTTAAGTACTGTATGGCACTACGACTATCGGATAAGATCCAGATATTAGCGGATGATGTTATAGACTCAATAGCGTTGAGTGCCTCTTCGATGGCAATTAGCTCCGATCTAAAAACAGAGCAGAAGTCTGGATTCTTAATCGTAAGTTTTCTAGAAAAGTCAGGAGCCTTAATGAAAATTCCGCTACCACAAGAACCGTCTTTGCTGCCATCAGTATAGATGAGAATATCTGTGGCTGGTATTTGGTTAATTATTTCAAGAGCAAGTTGGCGTAAGTAATCAGGCAAGTCTTGCTTTTTGTTAGTATGAGCTCCAAGATCTGGCTGGAAATGTACCCCAGGAAAGCCCTCCATGGGATTAAAGATTTTTCTCACGGAGTGACTTTCAACATTCATATTTAGTAAATCCATCAGGTGAAAACGAGAAAAAGGGCTGTTCAATCTTTGCTTGTTTGTCCAATTACGGAAATAATTTGCAGTGCGGTTAAAAACACCAAAACTGTAAAGCTTGTTAAAATACCTAGCCAGTAACTCATTCCTTCTCAGCTTTAAAGGCTGGCATTCATATGAAACGAAGTCTGTGGGGGCAACTATGCCTCATGCCAGTAATAATGCGAGCAGCACTAGATTGCACTCTCTCAAGTTTTGCTAAGTTAGTGGCACAGAAGTAATTCTGATAGCCATATTCCAGAATAGGTCTTATCAAGGAGGTATAAGTTGATCTAAGGGCGGGAGTTTGTACTATTTGTGGGACGTGTTTTGTACAATTGTATACACTATGGTTGATGAATTCACGTAGACTAAAAAAGAGTAAATGGCTTTCGAGAGGAATGGAGATGATTTTTCAGAGTTTGAAGATGTGAACAAAGACTAATATTTAACTTTTTCATTTGCCCATTTGGGATAGTAAATTAAATAATTTTTAAGAATAAAAAAATTAAAATTTCAACTTAGACTTTGAGTATTATGTTTTGTTTTAGTTCCTTGTAATTATTAATGAAATAAAAAAAGTAGGTTGATTGTTTGCATTTCTTTCCTTAAAAAAAATTTAATAAGGGAAGCGGTGCAAATTAAATGAAGCTCTTTGTTTGGGTATCGTAGAAATAAAAAGATAGATAAGCAGAGTTGCAAAACCTCAGTTTACTTTAAACTAGATGTCAGCACACATCATTATTTCAAGCTAAAAGTTAATCCAAAAATTAAAAATGAACACATACATTGTAGTATATGCTCTTAGTTTTATACACTTTTCTTAAATAAAAAGTAGACGTTTCCTGCAAAATTATTAAGGAATTAAGAAACATGTTCTAGCGACCTTTAAAATATAACTTAAGAATTTCACTAAATTGATATGCTGACAAGATTGTTGTTGTCTGCGTACGATGGGTCATATTAAGATAACATATTTAGTTAAATTAACATTTTTGAACGAGTATCATGGAGCGCTAAACGTCATTTTGTGTTGTACGATAATTGCGATTCAAAATCAATATATTAACTGTAATAATGATTGATAATGATATGCACACTGTATTATCAAATGTCCTTTCCTAACTTTGTAAACTTTCAAAGTTTTAATAGTATAACTTTTATGAATGTCAACTTATCAATGAATATTTTTTTTATTTATTCCAGTCTGCAGTTTCGTTGTTCACAAACGTTGTCATGAGTTCGTTACTTTCAAGTGTCCTGGCGTTGACAAGGGGGTGGATTCTGATGTAAGATTATTTCTCTTTTATTCTCCCAATCACATATAATTCACCTGCTGCTCTTTATATGTACTTGTAAGATTATTAACACTAAGTCATTAAAGCATATGGATATCATTTAAATGAGACTCTATAGAAGTCCCATATGACGCAGATGGAACACCGGTTCATATATATTTTTCTGACGCTCAAGCGAAAATGTAGTATATTTTAATTATAAAAAATAGTCTTATAGTTACCAAAAAATTTTTAGATTATCCGAATTATAGTTGCACTGAAATATAAAATTCGAATAAAGTAGTTTGAAAAATTTTTTTTTTCATTTTCAAAAATTCACCAATAATTGATTTTGTAAATTAAAGAAGTTTTAATGATGAACGCAGATCTAAATAAGATCTCACAGTTTCTCAAAGATCTAAATAAGTGTAAATTTATTATTTGGAAGTGATCTTCCACCCAGAACGAGAAAAAAAAAACCGGTAATTATAAATTATTGAAATGCTGAATATTCACATGCCGACCAGGTGGCCGAGTGGTTAGCGTGCCTCACAGTAAAGCACTTATTTTCACCTAAATTAATACAAAGGAATGTGCTTTAGTAAAAATTCTGCTTCAAAGGATTAAATGTCAATATTAATTCATCATTATTTTTCTAGCTGAATGTCATCAAAAGGTCCTGTAAATTTATTTTCGTAAAAGACTGATTGGACAGTTTCTGAAAATTCCAAGATTGTCATTTATTTTAAGAATTCGTTACTTTTTATAGGCTTTAAACCTATTGTTAGTCAAAGATATTTAATAACTTCTTTTAATAGCCGTCACCATGGCAACTGTTCATGTGAACGATTCTTGATACGATGACGATAAGCAAGTCAGTGAAGCATAAAATAGGGGCATTGATTTAATGCGATTCTATCGGAGAATAAAAAATAAGTTTATAATAATTAGGTAAATATTCGTCACAATAGGACGCTGCACTTTGCAATAATCCGATATTGTAGTTTTTTTTTTAAATTTCACAAATTTTGAGCTAGCTGATGCAAAAAAATAAATAAATATATAAATTGTTGTGATGATGTAATTGTGATGCAAAAGAGAAAATATTCTTAAATATGAAGTCTGTGTCGTTTTTGTGTAGGACTGCTGGATTGTTAATGCGATGTGAAGAAATATTATTATAAAATCCTGGATAATAACTGTAAAGGCTCATCATACTCTTTTCTAGATTAGAACCTTAGTATTATTATTAGGATGTTTATAGTTTTTATACAATGTATAAAAACTCAAATGCACCTCTGTGTTATCTAATAAACAAAAAATGTTGATAAATCGGCAAAATCAAGACAGTGCCGTAGCGAGCTTAACTCGCGCCCGGGGCACAATACTTTTTTAGCGCCCCCCCTATTCGAAAACCATCTAATATTATAAGTAAAATATACTCGCAAAGTAATAAATAAATAAAGTAAAATAAATAAAGTTATAGGCACAAGCTAGGCATTAAATTTGAGACAAAAAATGTAGTTGAGAAAACAAGACTAGATTTTGAAATGTATATATATGATCATCTAGAATTAGTTCAAAAGATACCCATTATTTATTTTACATATTTATAAAGAAATATTTTAAAAACGCGCAGTTTTAAAACAATAAAAAAGTAAATATTTATTATCTCTAAGGAGATACATATATTTAATAATATGATTAATAATAATTAATAATATGATTATAATACATTAATAAAACTAATTACTAAGTATAAATTTTCCGCTTTTGATGAAGCAAATTTATCAATAATATCATCAAAGTTGGTCATTTCAAATTTTTCTCTTTCCACACTTAAAAATACTAGGTCACTTAGGCGATCTTGTCCCAGCGTTGATCGTAGATATGTCAAAATTAATTTTAATTTGCTGAATGACCATTCGCAGCTAACAATTGATGCTGAGATAGTCAGGAGTATTTGAAGTGCCACTCTCAGGTTTGGAAAAACATCTTCTCCATACGGGATTATAAAAGTGAGAGATTCTAATGGAGTTTTAAGTTCAATTTCTTTTCTACTGCGGAGTAACATCTTGCAGTCACATACTTCGATAAAGAGTTCTATTCCATTGAAATCTGTATTATAAAATTCACCCAAATTTTTTAAAAAATTTTTCAAGGTCGTTATCAACCTTATCCTTGTTTAATAAATTTTTAACGTCTAGTAGAAATCCAAATTTGAAATTAAGGTCACTTAATCGTGTAAATCGTGTATATATTTCTTGTTGGAGACGATCAAGAACACTTTTCATAACGCGAGAAATTTCACTTTCTGCGGAAAGACTGACATCTCTAGCCAATTATCCGGGCATTTTGCGGCGTCTTCTTACACGTATTGTTGCATCAATATCCCATTTTTCACAAAGAGACTTCGCTTTTTCTATTGCCTCTTCACAGAGCTTATCTCGAATTTCGCCTAGTTCAGTCGCTAATGATTCAAGATCATGGAACTCTTCTCTAAAATTCATTCTAGGATCTTGTAATCTGAGCTGCACACGATCATTCCTCCTTAAGATTTCATATCAGAAATGAAATAAAGTTATGAAACTTAAAGTTAGTATATTTTGCAACAGAATTGGAGCTTCACTTCTGGTGTCACTTGTAGTGGTAGTGTCCTCTGCTAATTTTCCTAATAGTTCTACTATAATCGTTAGCCCATCGATGATAACGTTAACCGCTTGTATTCTGGCTCTCCATCGTGTTTCAGATTCATGTTTGACAGTTTTTGTTAAAGCATTTTTTAATAATTCCCATCGTAACGTTGAACGTGAGAAAAGAGATATATGTTTTCAATTATTCCGAAACATGTCACATCGATTGGATTTTGTTCAGCTGCAGTAACTCCTACTAAATTCAATGAATGGTTATCACAATTTACAAATAATCCTTTATAATTTTTTTCCATTATTCTTTGTTGAACGCCAGATGTGTGACTAACCATCACGGCAGCATTATTGTAGCATTGTGATCTGCAGTTTGTTAATGAAATTTCATCGGAATTTAATTTCTCCAAAATTGCATTTTCGATCGAGGCTGCATCTCTAGCATGTATTTCAATAAGACCCGAAAAAGATTCTTTGATGGAAGCTTTTTTATTGACAAAATCAACATCTACATACCTAACGACTTGGGACATTTGTTCTCGATGAGAGATATCAGGTGAGATATCAATAGTGTTCTGAAAGAAAGAATGTCTGTACTTTGTACACTGTGCAAACATACAAACACTTTATACACTGATGTTTGTACTTTGTACACTGCAAATATTTGGAGATAATATATGTATAAGTAACCACGCAGCGTAGATGCCATAAGGAACTGCTGACAGACACAGGTCGAGTCAGCCCTGCCAGTAGAAAAGACGTGTCATTTCTATTATTAATATATTATTACAGTTTGATTAGTGTTCCTTTTTATTTACGAATTAACATTTATTATATTTCACTGGCACTAAATTTAAAATATATTTTCCAGAAATAAATTATAATAAAAATAAAAATTATCCAACAATTTTGTTTTGTTGACCATTTGACGCCCCTTTGTAAGTAGCGCCCGGGGCATGATGCCCCGGGCGCTACTCACAAAGGGCATGATGCCCCCCTTGCTCCCCCCTCGCTACGCCACTGAATCAAGAAAAGGTGAAGAATATAATCTTGGATAGTGTAGAGAATTTTATGACGAAAAAATATATAAAACGATATCCAATCGCCTTTGAGTACAGATATGACACTATAATAAGGAGTACTAAATGTTTCAAACACATTCCCAAAACAGATGAAAGAAAGTTTTTTTTTTTAACTGTCTTATTCTCTTGTGTTTTGTTTTTGGTGGAATCCTCTGTTTCCATCTGCACCATTATTAGAGGACGCTAATTAAGCATCTTCTGAATTATTTTTTGAAACACGCACACCGTTTAGAACACACTTTATATGGAGGGTCGTTTCTCGTCCAATAATGTTAAACCTTTACAATTTAATTAAATTCGCCAAACGTATTTTTTACATTTATTTAATGAAGTGATCTTTTTCAGGACGCACGGACGAAGCACCAATTTGTGGTGCATACCTACACTAGTCCAACTTTTTGCGATCACTGCGGGTCTCTTCTGTACGGCATTATCCACCAAGGTTACAAATGTAAAGGTAATGTAAAGGCTACAAATGTAAATGATACAATAATAGTTATTTTTCTTTTTTAAATGTTTTTTGGGGGTGTTTCAGCGTGTGACATGAACGTGCACAAACGGTGCCAAGAGAGCGTTCCCAACCTTTGTGGATGCGACCACACGGAGAGAAGGGGCAGAATCGAACTTAGAATAGCTCATATCAACAATAAACTAATATGCGAAGGTAAGATACATCTCATTCTCTTAAAAGAAAAATAAATGTGTCTTATTTCACTCATTGTGTACACCATAGATTCTCAACCTTTTTAATGTTTCCGCCCCCCTAAGGAGAAGAAAAAATTTCAACTCCCCCTTTGCGAAAATCCTATGTTATTTAGAGCATAGAAAGGAGGGGGTGTGCTGAATTATCAGGCACAACATTTTAAGCAATTTTCTTACGTGTTAAATTTGCTTGATTTTTTAAAAAAGAAAAATTAATGTGCACGTTAACTCGGTACTTTTCTACCAGCAGGTAATCGCAGTCTATTTGTTATAATCAAAATAAATATGGTAATGAAAAAAATATAACGAAGAAGCGTACGGTTAAAAAAAAAGTTCTTTATTCTTAATTAGATAATTAAAAAAAAAACACCCAAAAATAATTTTTCTACTCTAAAAAGTAAAATCAAGGAAACAATCAAGTAACTGGGGGGATGATTGATTCTTAACGTCGAGTTTTTAGCATTTTTTTCTTTTTTGGGACTGAATCTTTGCACGAGAAGGAAGAGACTGTGAGACTTAGTTGAAAGTTCTGTTTCAACATTCACAAAAGGGTTCCATTGAGGGTCATCCATGTGTAAAGACTGTTGTCAATACTCTCGTATATCATCATTTCACCATTCTTCTTAAGATTGGAAATAGCTCAACTCATTCTTCAAAATAATTTTTTTTTAGAAAAACAGAAATAACTGATTTTGTAGTGATCAAATTGTAAATTACCACCATTAAATTTTGCAAATAAATCCGTTATGTATGCATCGTCTCTCTTAAATTCTAGTAATGTGTCTTTCAGAGCTCTATCTTCGAGGAACTCAAATACAAAAAAGATTCTAAAACCTATTGAGACAGGTGCCTTTGAAAAGCCAACGAATCTTGGTGTGTTGTAGCAAGCGATTGAATTTTTCATCGTTTTTCATACACAACTTCCTGAATAATCGTTGAAAGGATTTGTTCACTGCAGAGATCGGCATATTGAAATGACTGATGCAAATGGTCGCTGATATTTTTTCCAACTAAATGATGTCTGTGAATCAAGCAATGAACATCTAAAATATCTGGCACCTTCCTCTGTAAAAGGGCGATAAACCCACGATGTCGACCCACCATTGCAGGAGCTCCATCAGTGACGACAGATTCGCAAGAGGAATGTACTTTTTAAAAAAATTATCTTTGACATTATTAAAAATACTTTTGGTATCTACAACCAAACTTCTTGCAAAAAGCATATTTTAAATAATTTTTCGTTCCTTAAAAAACCGGGCGTACGCCAACAGTAAAGTCTCATTACTTAGCAAGGTTGACTCATAAACTTGAAGGGAATCAAAAGTTTGCATAAGGAAACTTCATCGTCCATCTCATCAATTCGTGATGTTTTTGATTACATTAGATGGTCTAAAACTTCCTTGACAGATATCAACTCTTTGCCGATGGTATTCCCAGATTTAGCAATTAATTTTGGATAAATTATGAGAGGCTATCAAATCGCATTTTTGTAATGAGGTTGCTAGTAAGCCTGAGATTGAAGGTGCCTTCAGAAACTTGTCTTTGATGTTCGTGAAAAATGGTAAATCTTTATTTTGTTTATCACGACGAATTGTTTGCAAATGTTCCTGCAAGCGGTAAGGTTTCATTGCCTCATTAGATAAAATTTTGTTAGAAAGTAAACACATTCGTAGTTGAGAGTTCGACGGTGATTGAACAAATCAGAACTTCAAATACGAGACACTCCATTGGAGACGCTTATTTCTGTTAACTTTGATGGTGGCATCCAGCAAAACACAAATGATGGATCAACTATTTCTCAAAGTTAATAAATAATTTATGATGAAGAACTAATTCACGCCCTGACCAAATAAACAATGAAATGGAGTCGAAACAAGGGAAGGAAGTGCACGAAAACCATCATAAGAAACATCGGTCAAATCAAACATTCACACTGAATGCGCATGCAATTTTTGCCAAATGCCTTAAATAAATTAGAGACAAAAGCCTGACACAAGCGCTACGCTCGAACTTATGCGACACACATTCTGCGCGAATTGCAGTCGCATAAGTTCGTTTTATTGCTGGTACAAATTCGTTTTATTCGTGAATAGGATAATCTTAATTTATTATATTAATTTAATCTTTTTATTTCTTCAATACCAATTTTAGATTCATTTAATTCATGAAATTAATCATAATTTCATTTGGATTTTTTAAAATTAAATTTGAATGAGAAAACTGCACAACCCAAAACTTGCCCACCGACCCCCTACTGCCTTTCACCGCCCCGTTGAGAAACACTAACCATTTTTGCCAAATTATTAGACACATTAAGTGATACAGCTTTCACGCGGCTGAAACCGGTTTGTACTAGCTCGTGTATTTATTGTTAAAATGAGACGATATCTATACATAATAATAAACGCGGCTGTGTGTGTGTCTGTCTGTCTGTAATCACAATATATCGCCCCAGAAGCCTCGCCCAGGCACGAANCAGGAACACTTTAATTGTCCACTAATCTTCAGATTTCCGGCTATGTTTTAAAAAACTTTATTTGTGAAAACCTTTAGCTTGGCGGACAGCTGGGCGCCTTTGGCGGCTAGTATAACATAAATATAGAATATTTATCAAATCATATTATAATAAGATCAAATTATTAGACGCATTGCAGTTTTTTTTTAACACTAGAAAGAAAGACCGGTATATTGCCGAAAAGCAATGACTAGATTGTGAATGTAATTAGTATTGAAAACGATCCAGTTTGAACCGTAGCTTTCTGATTCTTAATTAAAAGACAGAAATATCGTTCAAATGTTCTCTTTTATTCACAACCCAAGAATTATTTATGGGATCTCTCTGGTACCCTATCTCAAAAATAAACTCGCCCACTTAATGCATAACAACATTAAAAGTGAAAAAAAAATGATCAAACAGCAGCGGTCGCCATAGCAACGCATGCGCGCTGTTTACTATTACTCTTGATTATTGTAGTTGAAAAGTGTGAGGACGCCATGAAATCCAAATCAAGACCCGTTTTGCCAATGCGTAAAAAGAAGGAAATAGTCACATCAATGCTATGACGTAAGAAGGGGATCTTTTTTTTTAGGATAGATGGTGAATAGTTGCGAGGAAAAAGCAAATATTCCTAACAAGTCCAAATTAATATTTAAGGAAATATCCTAATTCCTAGAATCACTATTGAGAAAGGTGTCCTGCAAAGCAAGAAAAAATCTAAAACAGTTTGATTACCTGAGGAAAGAGCGAAGTGGTTTTCTTCGTAGCTATTCTCCTTTTACTCAGGATTTTAATGTACCGCTTTCCTATGTTGTTTTTACCTCTGTTATTTAGTACTCTTCACCTACTCTACTTTTTAACAACATTTTTGATAAGGAATCTAAAAGTGAAGAGTGGTCATAACGGCACACCCTGTATTCTTGTATTCTAATGCGTACCCTCAAGGAACAGTTTCTTGATATTTAAATTCGATGCTATTCCGATAACACACACGTCAAAAAATGTTACCAAAGTCAGACGAATCATTATCCATGTCAATGACTGAGAATAGAATGAAATGAGTTATTTACAATAAAAAAGTTTATCCGATAAATTTGAGTCTACATTAAAATCACTAAAAATGAAAATTATTTTTCTGTTCACTAAAAACTGCTTTTATAATATTTAGAAAAATGCATTCGATTCAGTGACAAAAATGTATGAAATAAATCAACAATGAATCGCAATTAAAACGACTTAACTTTGTTGACAATTAAAAGACAAAGAAAATCTCGAATGATCTCTTTTGGGCAAGAAAAACATGGAAGCAAATCATTGATTTTTCTCGAAGGGCAAAATGAGTTATTCTGATAGCATTGACATCAAGTTTTTGTTCTTAATTGAGATTCATAATGGCGGTAGAATATTTCAGTCTACGATGGAACCCTTTTTTTAGTGTTTGTTAAATCTACTATGAATAGTGGGAATTTTATTACATTCTGTATCAATAGAGAGGGATATTTTTAGGATCAACATAGAAGGTAGAGTTTATGAGCATCTTCGAATTTAAATAAAAGGCGTTTATAAAAGCATATTTAAAATGAGCTATTTTGATGAATCTCTCATTTATTATCATTCCATCAAAATATTACTTCTAAATGGCGATACATTTCATTTGTGATTCATTGCCTAAGCAATGAGAATTTTAGAAAATCTGTGTTCAATATACTGTATTAAGTTAATAACGCTTTTCATTTTTTGAAAAATATTGTTTTTCTTGAAATGGAAATTTAGCGCCCTATTTATTTTCACCATAAAAGACACTTCATTGGAGGAGTCATAAACAAGAACTTTTAAAAATTATAATTATTTAATTCATTGAAAATATCAGCACCCATGAAATTATTAAGGAGCGATATTTTTTTTAATTTAACATTCGACAATCCTTTTGTTAGGCTGGTTAAGAAAAACCATTTTTTAAACATTTTCCTAAACATTATTATGAATCATAATTTTAAGAATTAAATGAGTCATTTTAAAAAAAATGTAGCACTCTATTTACCGAGAAATTTAAACTCGTCCTTCGTAACAGCATCGTTGTCTATAATTATGATTATACTGAGAAAAAAGAAAGAATTGTTACTAAGATATTATCACGTATTTATAAGTATTGTAGATGATTCAACAATGAATCAAAAATACGACGATATCGTAATAACTATCTTCAACAATAATTATCGAGTGCGATAATAATCACTATGCTATTACTGCGGATATTTGTTTTAAACTTGATTTTTATACTTAAGCATGATTCGGACAGTATGCTTTGATTACATATTCCAAATATCTCCGTGATTTGTAAAAAAGTATCGAATCCGATAATATTCGCTATATTATCGCTGTATCTAGTTTTTTTACAACTCGATAATCATAATAACATATAATATGTAAAATATATCCTGCTGACATATTCACAATATCCTCGTAATTTATAAAAAAAGAATCGAATCCGATAATAATCGCAGTATTATCGTTTTCCTTCTGAGCGTTTGTCTCGCCTTTTTCCGAACTTTCAAATGCATGCTTTCCTGCATAAAACAGGTTTCGCTGTTATACTGCATTACAGGACATTTTTACCCAGGAACTCAACGCTTTTAGGGTAAAACTAGATATTTATGATATGCATCCTGATTACATATTCTAAATATCTTTGTGATTTACACAAAACTTTTTTTTTTACTGAATACGAAAATAGTCACTATATTATCGTTATGTATAATTATCTTAAAATATATATTTGACAATCGGCATAATATGCACAATATATCTTGGTTATATACAGTTGAACTTCTATTTAACGAACTTCCATTTTGCGATTTTTTTTCCAAGAAACCAAGAAAATTTTAGAAATTTCTTCGTAAAATAACTCCCAAATAGCGAAATGAATTTTCTATTGAAGGAACCACTTCGAGAACCACTTTAAGAACCTATTTCCCAGAATATTTAAGAACATTTCAAACTTGTTAATTAATTTTATGGGGGAAATGACCTTGGATTGATTTTCGAGGCCACTTAACTTTTCAGAGAAAGCGGTAAAATCCCTTTTCATTTGAAACGAAAAACTCAGATAAAATTAACGGATTTTATCAGCACCCATAAAACTTAAGAAGGCTGTTTAAAACTACTTTTATAATAAATGCTGCTATGATTTTATGCATAAATTTAGCTATTTTTTTTAGTTGAAAATGTATGTAGTGTAACACTGGTTTTACTCTATTTTTTTTCTCAGATTTCTTTTATGGTTAAGTTTTATGAAATAAGTACTGTATCCATTTTAATTATGTCTGTTTATGAATTTGTTTTGTGTGGTATTTCAAACTTCTATTTAACGACATGTAAATTATTAGACACGCAACTCTTCTATGTAAAATCTTAAGCTTTAGTGTTTTTACGAAACCAGTTTGCAATTGTTCGTGGGTTGTAATGCAATACGTTAAGAAAGAAATAGGAAGTATATTCTTCCTATTCGTAGAAAAAAAACCATTGTATGCAATATAAACTTGTGCAAAGCATGTCATTATTAGAAAACATTATTTGATCTAATTTTCACACCTGATATAAAAAATATTTTATATATTGTCTAATTTACAAATTTATATATTTTAACGAATTGTTAGGAGAGCGTAAACAAGTGGAAAAACAATTTAGATTTTACATACTGTGTCGAATAATTTGGATATTTAAAACCTGTATTTCAAAAGGTGATTAATATAGACTGTATTTCTTGATGAGAATCGTATTTTAGTGAGACAAGCGAGAAACTTGATTCCTATGGATCCGAACGGTCTCTCGGATCCCTATGTAAAGATGAAATTACTCCCCGATACAGGAGAGAAGAAGAAAACCAAGACAATCAAGGCTAACTTGAATCCGACGTGGGGAGAAACTCTCACTTTGTGAGTATTGACATCCTCTTTTCTTTCTTTCGATCATTCAGGTCTTATGGAAAAGCCTTTTGTTTCAAAAACAGATTTATATTTCTACAGACAAAGCATTCTTATTTACAAAATTAATATTCAAAAGCGTTTTGATTTTTCCTTTTTAAGCCCCAAATCAATTCAATAAAACAAAAATCGTCAAAATATTCGAAAAAAAGTTTTTTTTTTTTTTAAACACCCTTAACAAAGCTTATAAATAAATATAGCGACTCTTTGGTTATTTTTGCACAAAATCTCTTTTAAATACTAAAAGAAATTAAAAGAAGTACAGAACAAATTCGAGAGGTACTCTTACACCACTGCAGATGGGCTGCAGAACTGTTTTTTTTTTGGAGGGTCTGAACACGCTTTTATGTATTTAGTTAAAATTTCGATATCAATTTTAGGATTGAAGTCATTTAGGTAATATATATCAAACATTGAAAGTGAATTAATCCTTCTTCTAATGTAATTAATATTGAAAAATAGATCAGAAGCCTTACTAGTGATTGATTTAATGAAATGCTATAAAGAGCATATGTGCAATATTTTTCAATTAGTTCACACTCTTGTTCAAATCTTACATTGAATACTTTTTATTTATCCACACAAGTTCAAATACATTTTTTTAAACTTGTAGTGGGGGACGTTAATACAGTTTTTCTTCAAATAATAATTCATTCATTTTATGGGAGGAAAAATTGTAATTAAAAAAGTAACTAAAATAAAATTTTTCTTTGGTAGACTTGATGATAAAGAGAATCAACTTATCTGAAATTGTCTTAATGAGACTATAAAATAAATTATTAAAATCGTGTCATTATTTTGGGACCTTATTTTGAGCAGAAATGGTTCTTTTAGCGGAGTTTATTCAAAAGCATTATTAACCAAAGAAAGAATTATTTAACGTGGATTTTTTGATGTTATCTATTCAGGTCTTTTCAACTACTTGAGAATTGGTTGGAAGGCGTTCTGAATTTGCTGAATTATGATTTTTCGTTGAAATAATAAGTGTTGATATAATTTTGGATTGAAAAGTACGAGAAGAAAGACATTTTCACATCAAAATAAAAAAAATTTTGTTATCATTTTATTTCAATAAACTCTTAAAAATAACCGAATTCATAAATAATTGATTTCGTATAAAGGCAATTTTCAAAAAATCTTAACTAGTTATAAAAAAAAACATTTACTTTTCGGAACCCTGTTCAGCGAACAGCAGTGGTTCCAAATGGGTCTTTCACGTTTCTTAAACACATTCTTTGCTATTTTTACGAAAGTAAAATGCCAATAAAATATGGAATATTTATATACCCGGGAAAATCCGTGGCTAAAATATGTGCAGGCAATTCATGTCTATTTTATTTCTTAAATAAATACTTATTTTCTATAATTATTAATTGTCAACTTCTTTAAATTATCCAGTATAATATTACCTTTCGCACATCCATTTCGGGCCTATCCTTGGTAACTAGCAAATCAAACGCACTTCAGTAATACAGTAAGAACGCACTTTAATACAAAAATCCTCTAGTTACGCTTTTAGCTCAATTTACGCTTCTGTTTTCAATTTTTGCAATCTGACAATCTTGCTACGGAAATATTTCGCTACTAGCTTTTTTGATTTTATTTTATGTTTTATTCTGTTTTTTCTTTATATTTAATTTTCTGTTTTTACGTGATATTTTTACTTATTGTGTTCTATTTTATTTGTTGTAAAATTTTTGAGTAGCCCTTACACTATTGTATTGATATATCTTGGTTTGGCTATATTAATACAATATTAGAAAGCACTCTTTTTTGTGGATATAATCGAGTGAGCTGATAAAAAGATTATATCTTTTATTTTCCGGATTTTTTTCTTCCAGTTTCTTGTTATTTTTATTATTATTTTTCTTTTTTTCCTTTCTTTCATTGTTCTGTAATTTTCCCTTGTTTTCTCTATATTTTGATCTTATATTTATATATATATAAGTTCAAAATGAAGAATAAAACAAAGAAAAATTATAGACATATGAAAAAAAGGGGGGTGGGAAATAATAATCGTGAAAATCGTGCAAATCCGCGGTTAAAATTATTTGCAAAGCAGGCAATTTATGTTTCTCTTTTATATTTTTTCTTAAATAAACATCTATCTTCTAAAGCTATTTATGATCAATTTTTGAAATTATACAGTATAATATTACCTTGCGCACGTCCATTTCGGGCCCATCCTTGGTAACTAACAAATCAAAAATCAGAATAACAAATCACTTCAGCAGTGCAGTAAGAACGACACTTTAAAACCCTCTTGTTACACTCAATTTGCGCTTTTGTTTTCATATTTTGTAATCTGGCAATCTTTCTGCGAAAACATTTTTAAATCATTCTTGAAAAATAACCGTCCATGTAAGTTGTTATGATTTTGCTACTCGCTTTATAGTCCCCCCTTTTTAATGTTTTTTCT